CTATATCGTTGCAAAGAAAAAAGAAACCTGAAGAATAAACTAAACCTATACTCTCCAGATGATAATACATTTTTTGTTATGGTATTTTGTGAGTTTATTAACATTACATCGTAAGTTGATCAAATTTTCATGGGAAAGGATCAATTTATCTATATATATTTATAGAGAAGATTAAGTTTTAGTTTATTTCAAATCAATATTGTATATATTGGGAGAGCAAAGTCAATAGATGGAAGAGCAGAATTTTTTTTTATTGATGAACAGTCAACGAATATCGTGAATATTGAAGTTGCTTTCTTTTTTTCAAATTATAGTGATTATAGTTTCGATTGGATGCTTATCGAAAAATGAGATAGTCATCAGTTAGATTCGATCGAAAAAAATAATTTGTTTCAACAATCTATTTAAATCATTCAAATTTTCAAAATCCGATTTATAAAAAAATAATCATCATGCGAGTTTTAATATTTCGATAGATATTGGAAAAATGTTTTCGCAGAGTCTTTTGATTTACTATGAAGAATAATCATTTATGTAGAACTTCTTAAATTTTTTTGCATTATATTAAAGAATCGAATGGTATACAATGGCCAAAACCGATTGTTTCTTCATCAAAAGCTATTTCTGATTTAATATCACGAGTACTTGATGATGCTCCAGCTGCTAATCTTTTTCAAGTTTCAATCAAAGCCAATTTAGCTATCAATGGCAAAGATGTTTTTGAATTATCTAATGGATCAACATCAGGTTCAATATTAATTTCAGCATCAACAGGTGTTGCTGCTGCTTGGGCTTTTAATTATTATTTGAAATATATAGTAAATAGTTCAGGTACATGATATAATATGAAATTTAATTTCAATATAACTAATTTTATTTTCAATAGTTTATTGGTCTGGAAAAAATATTCGAATATCTAATTCAACATTATTTCCAATAGCGAAACCAATTCGAATTATTGCTAATGATTTATATCGTTGGTATGGAAATCCATGTACATTTAGTTATTCAGCTGCTTTTTGGAATTTTTCAAGGTGAAAATTCTATTTTGTTATTTTCTTAATAAGTTTTTTGTTTTTTTGTTGTTTGAAGATGGGAAAAAGAAATCGATTGGATGGCTATGAATGGTATTAATTTAGTTTATGCAACAACTGGAATAGAATATATTTACAATAAAGTCTAGATTTTAAATTCACATTAGAATTATTATTTTGTTATGTTGTCTTTTAGGTATTTTTGCAAATGGGTTTTCCTCAATCTGAACTTGATGATTATTTTACTGGTCCTGCTTTTTTAGCTTGGTAAGAATATTTCATATATATATATACATAGTGTTTCATTTAAATATGCAACCAAAAAACAAAAAGGTCTCGTATGGGTAATCTTCAAAAACATGGTGGTCCTTTGTCAAACAATTGGCATCAATCACAATTTCAACTTGCGAAACAGATTATTCAACGAATGACAGATATTGGAATTATACCAGTACTACCTGCTTTTACTGGTTTTATGCCTCGAACAGCACCATTGTAAGTAGAAAACAATGATTGATTATTCTCAGTAATTCTACATG